TGAGGAAGAGAAATTGTCTTCATTTCAATCTATTGTCGATGGAGGAGATGAGGATTAAAGATGAAGAGGAGCATGTTTGAAATGTTATTTTGATTTGGTGTTTTGCTTTATTACAATTTGAAATTTGATTTTTAAGTTGGTTTTGTTTTTGTTTTTAGTACAATGATTTGGTGTTTTTCTAATTTTAAATTTGGTTCAGACTTTACATTTTATATTCTACATGCATTTTATCCTCATTTAGTAATCCTAACTTTATGAATGGAGAAAAAAAGACTTGAAGTGAATATTAATATAATTTTATAAAGAATGTAAATGTATTTTTATAGAAAATTTTGTGAGAATGAATAGCAAATTGAATGTATAATGTGCATGCATGTATGATGTATGTTGTGGAGCAGCCTGAAGCTCTTACACCTCCCTGAAGCGCCGTGGAACAACTTGGAGCAGTCTATAACAACATTGACGTTTGGCCCGCGGGACGGCCCGTAGAAGCCTGTACATTGCTGCGGGGCGGGATTAGGCCGACCTTCTGCAGACCGCAGCCCGTGCGGGATAGGACCGCAACGACCCGCGAGAAGTCGAGCCCGCCGCGGTACGGGACAGGACGGGACAGCCTGTTTGACAATGCTATCCTTATAACTGGCTTTAATGGATTTTAGCTTCCTCGAACAAAAAACAAGGGTTTCATAGATGGCTCTTGAAAAAGAGTCAGATATGTTGCCACGATTAGGATGGTTTTGCCTATAGGGTGAAGCTGAGGGGAGCTCTCAAGGGGTTAGAAATTTACTAAATTTGAGATAGGGACATGGGTAATTTGCCTTCAAGGATTGGAAAAGAACAAACAGCATAGTATAAATGTATGCTTTTTGATTAAATTAAATAACATAATTACTTGATAAGTTTCTTCGGATGCAAGTAATTCTTTCCTCTCTAGAAAAGCTCTTATTATATTAGGGCCAAAATAGAATCCCTCTCCACAAAATGGAAAAATTCGAACGGGACCACAATGAAAAAAATTTAAACGATTAATAAAAGAATGAGTTCGAGACAAAAGGAAAAAATAATGTGTGTGAACAAAGCTCATGCATATACAATGAAGTTTAATTGAAGTTTTGGGGTGGGGTTCATGCAAATATGTAACTCACGCTATTTTTCATGCTCTTTCGCTATATAGACAGAGCAAACAAACCCATTCAAGCACAAACAAAGTTAACAACAAAACAAAACAAAAAATATGGGGAGAAGAAATACATGGGTAATATTAACGTATGTAACAGTGCTAATGATTGAAGTCGAATCAAGTCTTCACAGAGTAGGCGGAGGAAAATACAACTGGAATCCCGATCTTAACTTCTCCGATTGGGCCAACAACCAACGCTTCTACGCCGGCGATTGGCTCTGTAACTATAAACAACATTTATTCGTTTTCACTTCCTAATATTGTAAATCAATTATAAAAAAACAAATTAAATAAAACGTATGGAAAATATTTCAAACTTAATAGATATATACACCAATTTTGAATTTTAAACTTTTTTAAATTTTAGGGGTTAGTATTTTACTTTTATGAATTAGTCTTCACAATTTAATTACGGTTTAGAGTTTGGGCTTTAGATTTGAGGATAAAGTTTTAAATAATTTTACTAATTATTTCTTTTAAAATATAGGTTATATGTTGGTTCTGGTATAAAGTACTTCCTCAATATCATTTTCCACTAACAATTTTTTAAGTAGACCAAATTGTGTAAAATTAAAATAATACAACACTTTTCAGCTTGGAACTCGAGTTTTTAGGATTTAGAATTGATCCATTCTATTAGTTTGAAGGACATCGATTTAGAGTATGGTTGGTCCACTTTGTTTATTTTGATATAAATTATGGTAATTTTAATTAAGCTAAGTTCAAATTTTTTTATGGTAATTCTAATCTAAATTCTCATTTGAAATTGGTAGTTTTTGGGTTCGATCGGACTCGTCACAATATCCTCCAAGTAAACAAGAGCAGCTACGAGCAGTGCATCAATGATGATTTTATATTCAACGTGACACGAGGAGGACGAGATGTGTTTCAACTTGTTCAACCGAAGCCTTATTACTTCATTTGCGGTAGAGGTTACTGCGTCAAAGGAATGAAGCTCGCCGTTAATGTCCTTCCTCAACCGCCGCCTTCAATTCCGACCGTTCCCATCATTCCAGCCTCAACAGCCAATGCTCTCATAATAAACTTAAACGCTTTCACCGCTATTGCTATCACCATTCTCATGGCCTTCACCTTTAAAGCTTTATACTTTGACTAGGCTTCACCATTCTCACAATCAATATGACTATTACGTTTCTTTGTTGTATCAGATTTTGGTGCTTTAAATTGAAACAAAAAGGCCACTTTTCTAAAATGTTCACTTTTAATACTCTTGTTACATTCTAGTTGATTGACTCAGTGAATTGTTAATCGATAGAATGAATAATAATTAACTGAATCTGCAGGTGTTTACCAAAAAAAAATTGCTTCTTAAAGTTTTAAACTTGGATATTGTTACATCCCGGTTCTTCTAAACCAAGATGGTTTTGTTTTTTTTCATTAAGTTTATTTGGCTCAAAGTACATTATCTTTTACCTTTTTTTTTCTGACCCGTGTCTGCGTAGTAAACCTTAGGGTTTACACCTCTTTCTCTTGTCTCCCATTTAGAAATCAGAGCAAAGCCGTACAAAGTTCCAGAGAGATCTGAAAACCTTAGCCGTCAAGATATCTCTTTTCTCTTCTCTCTCTTTCTCTCATGGTGACCTCTCTCTCATCTCTCTATTGTCTGCGTCTCTCTCTCCTTGTTGATGGTTGGTCATTGCACGCTGTAGCCAAGCTATCAGAGATCCCGGTGAACTATTCAAGTTTGTGTCCAGATCTCTTCTTGTCTTCTTTCTAGATCTAGTTACCGGTGATGCACCAATCATTTCTCTTGTAGATCTGGTTCATGAAAAACTGTAAGCTTCAGATCTGCTTATTCTCTCTTTCCCATTCGCAGATCTAAGTCTAAGATGAGGATTGATGTGATCTCTTCTTCTTTCTTTCATTATCGTTTCATAGTAGAGTTTCTAACTAAATCATTCATTCCTACGTGTTATCTATAACCATACACGTATTTTGTTTGATAGATAATCTATAACATATGTATAAATACACTTATATATTGTATTGTAATGTGTGAACATCTAGGTCTACTCATAGGTTGCTAAACTGAATATGCTTGAATGATGTTTGAGGATTGTATGTAATGGTTGTATTGATTAGGGATATGGTATATGTGGATAATGTATCTGTGGGTGGTCTATATGAGTTAGAGAAAGGCGTAAGCCCTATGTTTGCCGGTGCAACGTGATAGAAGTGTGCAAGACTCGGGCGTTACATCATTTCTTGTTGGATCATGTGACAATCGTTTGAGTTGGCATGATTCATCACCGGAGCGGGCATGTGGCATGCATGTGTATGAATTCAGAACGTAGTAGCGTGATATCGTGGAGACAACGTGAAATATATTAACATGGTGGCGGATCAAGCGTGAAGCGAAGTCGGTAACTTGATTGCGTGAAGGTGTGGAACAACGTGAGTTGTGGAGACAACGTTACATGAGTTCTCACGCGATAACATGAGGAACACGGGGGCCCAACGAGGTGGCGTGGTCTCATGTTGGCACCGTCGGGGTTTATCCTCGTTTCTTGTTGATTACTCTTGTTTTATTGGATGTTTAAGGTAGAGTGGTTGTTATGTTGTGTGGTGATAGTTGGTTGATGATTTCTGGGCTCATAGAGCTTCCCTCACTGAGCCTTTGTGAAAATGCTCACCCCTCCTCTTTCTTTTTCCATTTCAGGTTCTGTTCATGTTGTTGGTTTTTTGTCAAAGACGTCCTGGGATCCTAAAGACACATTGTTTCAGCGTTGTGGTTGGAGACAAGTGTCATGATATCGCTGATTATTTCAGCTATGCTGGGTCGGAGTGTCACATATATTAACCAGACTCTCTTTTGATCCAAAAAGAAGACTAGTTGGTCAACGCAAACTTGTTTCAACGCTTTTATTGATATGTTCATTTAGGGATATCTAAAATAATCCGGATCAGCATCGTTTTGAACTTTTGAGGGAGAGCTTATACGTTTTCCCAGCCGCCGAATGAAAGGCGACTAATAATCTACCAACCGTTGATGGAAACAATATTTTATATGACCAAGAAGTGGGTTTCAGTCTTTATTATTATTGTAATTAGTGGTGTGTATGTGCTTCGCACAGAGATTTATATTTTGGTGGTTGTATTTTGGTCGGATTTGATAGTGCTTGTGCGGGTGAAGCAGATTGTATTTGGAGGAAAAGGTATATTGTCATTGAACTTGCCGGCCAGTTGTGGCCGATTATGGATTTAGTGCTGGTGAATGTCTTAATAAGCCTTGTTTGCTGATGTTATGTCATACATGTATTTATTCGTCATAGATCAGTGTGGGTGGTAATTATTATAATTTCTCGATATGTTGTGATAATGGTTGCCTTTGTTGATGTCCATGAGGTGGATGTATTATGCCATGTTTCAATTTTATTAATCATTGCCTTTGCTATCCTTACACAACTTTTTCAAGTGTTGTGGCAGTGACCATCATTTATTTTTCCTATAACCAGGGTATTTGCTTTAAATCTTTGGTAACATTTAAACATGGAGATGACATATAAAATATTAGCCAAACTGTTTGTGTAGGTTTTTACTAAATATATGTTTCAGTACCTGCTTGACTCTTGGCACACGGCAAGGCAGTGACCTTCCTTCTTTCTTATCTCGGCTTGTTAGTACTATTTTATGACGGCCTGTCGGGGTGATCTTCATCTTCGTTTTCTTTTTGTTTTCACCACATCAAACAGAAACAGACCCTGTGAATCAAGTAGTAGTAGATTTGTTTTTGTAATTAGTTATAATCTTGACGTAGACTGTTCGCGTATGTGTTGTGTATTGACGTCCAGGGAATATGACTTGAACATTTCTTCTCAGTTTTATGCTTATTTAATATGTTGATAATAACCAAACAAACATCGTTGTTGGAGGTTATTAATATTGAAGGAAGTCATGTTAGAAGTGGTCGTAGTAGTTCGAGTGTGTTAATCCTCCATAGAGAGTATGAGATTTTGGGATATGGTTCACACGGGTGTATGTTAATGTTGGAAGTTGTTTTAGTTTTTAACCCAAAGTTCTTTTGTTCATGTGAAATGAAAATAGTGTTGATGAATGTATCTTAAATATTTAAAATTGTATTGATCATATGATGAAAATAAAAGCACCAAAGTGTTAAAATTTTATTACTATATCTGAAAAGTTTTTATATAAATATATAAAACTTTAAAATGTTTCGTTGACTTGATTTGGTATTGTGTTATCAGGCTTTTTAAAAAAATATCAGAGAAAATTCTAAAGAACATACGATGAAAAAAAATTCATGTTATTTGAAAAGCAATTAACACAAAGCTAGTGCCATATAATGAATATCTACGGTAATGCTTATGTGAATTTATGCCATAGCCTCCTGTAGTGTTCTTTACGATGTTAAGATTTCCGTCTAAATTCAGATGGTGACAATATTATTGAATTTTATGTCTTAAAACTCATACCATTAAAACCGAAGCTGTTTTAAAACCAACTAAAACATAAAACGACAATAACCATATCTTCTGGGTAGGACACAAAAATTAGGAATGACATTATTGTTGCACTTACACTTAGAAACTCAAATATGCAACTGTGTCTTCATACTCGTTTTCTTTTTGACTAAAGACTTGTCTTAATACTCTGTTGCAGGTGCATAATCTCCATTGTTGGAACAATCATGTGTGTTTGGGCTTTCTTATTTGATGGACCTTCATTTGAAACTAACAACCTTAACATTTTGAGGAGGTTGCAGTGAGGGTCCACCGGGCTTTGTACAATGCATATATCGTCACCACCTTTTGTCATGTTCTCTGGTCCACTCTTGTTCAGCGTAGGAGTAGGCTGTTTAGTTTTCTGACAGCATCAAGCATGTCAGGTGATCATCACCTCCATGTGAGTGTGGACTTATGAAGGTTAGAGTTGGAATTATTTGAGCATTTTAATTTTTAATTCAGATACAATACAACCTGGTCTACAAAATGCTTAACAGGTTGACGTTGGTTCCCGTAAAATAAGCTGGACGCAGGGCACAGGTGTAGAAGTTCCCTTGCATGCAGCCATCCCACAATGCTTACAGAAGATCGTTAGGCAGACTTTCAGTTTCAGCTCAAGCTCTCGCAATTACTTTAACTTCCACGCATCAGTCATTTACTGTTACCCTACTGGTTGGGAAGAGAAAGAGGAGGATGCTGAACGTAACCATCCAGCTTAAGCAAACATATTGAACATGACAGCTGAAGTCCAAGAAACTAAAGAATTTATTTATGCATAGAGTATTGATTAACGTTCACAGAAGATCTAGTAAAAGTGTGTAACTTGAAAGTTTCTCTAGTGATGAAATCTACTAAACCATTCAGGAGTTTAGTTCATGTTAGCATAAGCAATTCAAAGATACTTTAAGGATGAGTTCCTTCAATTTGAAATAGATTAGTAACCAGCGGGTCTAAAAACATCAATTAATGATCTGAGAAGGAATTTCTCAAAAACGGAATTAAAATTATAAAGGAACCTGAGTTCCATTGTCAAGTACATGTAGCCTATCATTCTGAACTGATACTCTGCTCTTTCCACTTTCCTGAACCGAGAATCCTTTAAATATAGCTACATACACACAAAGAAAACAGAGCATATGTTATTAAAAAAATCAGGGAACTGTAAGAGAAACATTTAGATTTTTTATGGTATTTATATTTGTCCCATAGTTCTGCTTCATCTTTCAAATGAAGTTGATTAATAGTTACCTTCTCATCGAGGAAGACGTGAGCTCTCGTCCTTTCTTTACACTCATAGCCTCTCAAAACCGAAGAAGACATGTAACAACTGCATCCTTGCATTGCAACATATGGGTTTCAGATCGGAAAATTGAAGTTGTGTTATTGCTGTTCTTGGATAGTATTATTCTCGGGTTTTTACAATAGTATTATTTGAAGAAGATTTGTGATTTTTAAGGAGCATCTTGATGACAAATATATATGTAGCATCTGTTGATAGGGGAGGTGAGAAATCGGCATATAGTGGGGTAAATAAATTTCATGCCATCATCAATATGAGTTATTCCGTGAACATAATGAATAGGATCGGATTCGAGGGGGCTACGCAGAGGAGAGAAGAACTCTGATCAACACATTGTTGGTGGGATTGAAATTTTAGTTCCTACTGGGTTTAGATTAGTTGAAAGGCCTAATGTAAGAGTGAGTGTTAATTTAACTGATATTATT